AACAGCATTGCTAGCTTCTCAATCATCCAGACTTCAAACCTTCCCTCTGTATGCACATCAAGTTCTGCACATTCTTTCTCCCTAACCTATTTTTCAAAAAAATTTAATTTCTGTCTTGAGGGCTGCCTGGGTCTACTCTAATGTGTAGTTGTGTCTTCCTTGTGGACCTCTGGTGGTTGGCATTTGATTACTATCAATCTCAACCTGCAAAAGTGTGAATTTTTAATTTAAAAGTAATATTTCACCATGAAAAAAACAGCCATATATCACTCAACAGTTTGTTCTCACTATCTAACATAGTGTGGCATGGAGTGGGTTCATTGCTTGATGATTTAGCAAAATAAATGACTTTGATTATGTGGAACCCAAATAAGGTGTTTGAGACCAGAGAAACTTTTTGTAATATTCAGTCCTAAATTAAGAAATAAAAGAGAAAAAAATCAAACATTATAATAAATATTCTGGTAATTATATAGTTACTGTTGACTTCATTATTATTGGCTGACAGACCATTTTACTTCCCAAGTGGTGATCTTCATCCTTGTATGAGTAGACTTTTATTTATTTATTTATTGGGTAATTTTCCTTAAAAGGCCATGATAACTATAATGGAATAAGGATTATATTAATATTCCCCAAAGAGACTTTATATGACTATTCATATTAACTGCACCCCACAGAACCACCATGCTGAGGAATAAACTGAAATGCTAAGTAGGGTACCAGGAGTTGTCCTGTCTCTTTCCTCTAAGAAATGTGAGCTCACTATGCATATAAAACTGAAGCATAAAGCAGTAAATTGAACCCTTCCTAGTACAGTCTGGGAAACAAATTGGAAAGTTTGTGTCTGGGTTGCCCAGAATCTTCCTTTTTCCCTTGTTACTACAACAATCACGCTGTTCTCTAGAACTTGCAGGGAGTGCCTGTCCAGCTAAAGCCTGGGACCCTTCATGGGGTCTGGCTTGAGAAGCACTGAGTAGGTTCAGTAAAGCTTGTCAAGGTGTCTGTGCAGAAGGGATGTTACAATAGAAAAAGCACAGCTTAATTTTAACATGGCAATGTTTTATTTAGACTTTATTGAAAATTTTCTTGTATTGATCAATATTTTAATTGTAAACTTCCTTTAACCCCCATACTAGGATAAAAACTTTAGTGTAAGGAAAAAAAAATGGTTATTAAAGGTTTAAGATAACATTGAACAGTGGCTTTTTAATTTTTTTGAACACTGGCTATTTTTAAGTGCTTTTAATGGAATGAAACATGTTAAATTACACAGATCTGTGCTTTTTAAAAACACATGCTAAAGATTTATTGTACTTTAATGATACATTTAAATAAAATTATCAAATTAATAACTTTATTATTTAGTTTGTTAAGATAATATTGAATAGGTAATATTTAATAGGTGTGACCTCCGGGATGCTGAAATGTCCATAATATAGAAGTTTTAGCTACCTAAGACATGACATGTATCAATATATATTACAATTTTTCTATTATTACATCTAAATTAACACTTTGTTCCAGTTCTAACTTCAGGATTATTTATTGTGCCTCATGTAATATGTTCCAGTTGATCCATTCATTAATTTTGTGAATAGCATAACTAAATTTATCTCATTTACATATTTATACACTTTAAAGAGACCAATGTAAACAATTTCTGATCTGCCATATGTTGAAATGCTTTAGTGAAAACATAACTGCCTAGTCAACAAAGATGGCATTGAATTGCACTGTTTTGGAAAAAAACGTTAAGTGAACTAGATGCCTGTTAATCTGGTTCTTTAAATATCATAAACAAAAGTATCATAATGTGTTTCCAAGGACAAAGGCAGAGTTTTCCTGGCTTTGATTGGTTGCTGCCCTGCCCTGTCCCACAGTCATCCTTAATTGGCTTTGGGTAGATTGGAATCACATAAGCAGGGTGACATTCATTACTTCCCTGGTTATTTCTTTGCACTGAGCCTTGAGATTCTCAAGGAGTAACCGTTAAAGATTTCTTTCGTTTTGTCTATGATCTGCGAGAGGGGCTTGTTCTGGGAAGAGCAGGCATGAGTTTGAGTGCAAGAAGAGTCACTCTGCCTGCAATAAGACCAATTGTTCTGCAGAAAAGGGTACATGACTTCTTCTCACTTTTTTTCTTTAATTTTTCCTACTGTTTTTTTCCTCTGTTACGGTGTGTTTATTAATATGTCAGACACTTAGGCATCCTTAAGACAGACTGAGATTCATTGGGGATATTGACATTTAAATAACATATGATTGGAATTGAACTGGGCAAAAAAATGCTGTGACAAAGCATCGCTATTGTAAAAATACCTCTATGTGAAAGCGTAGGTCTCAATTTAAGGTCATTGTAACTTAGAGACTATACTGAAGGTATTCTTTTGTCTTTCTTCTACTGTAACATCAGGCCTTTTAATCTTTAATAGGAAATCTGCTGCTAACTATTATTTCTTATATTTGTTCACTAAGGAACAGTTTCTTTGTCACAGTATAATCCATAATGCATCCATCTTCATTTTTTAATGGATTATATACTTTTCCTGTTTAAACATGTTTTCCTGTTTAAACATGTGGTATCAGTTTATTATCAAGTTTCTACCCATTTCTATTGAGTTTCTTTCTGTTTGCTTAAGAAAAACTTTCCATTACATTTGTTAATTATTAATGCAATTGATTCCATCTATGAAAATATTTATTAGTTTTTGTAAAGATCACTGTCATGTATTACTTGCAGTATTACATTTTATAAGGTGAAATACGCATCGCGTAATGTAGCCACATTAAACTGCTCTTGTAAATACACCAAGCAAAATGGATTGCACTAAATTCTGGAAGAATTCAATCTGCTGCATTGAAAGAGAAAGCACTAGCAAAGGAAAGCCCATTTTAGGCAATATGCTTTGTGAATGGTTTTGGTGACACTAGAAACTATTATGTTTATTTCTGTACTTGATTTTCACCAGTTAACTATTAACTATTAAGAGCATTCCATTAAGTCAAAGGTCATGTTTTAATTTATTTTGAGACACGAACGATCAAACATTTAGGTGCTTTGTTTTTCAAGTGTCTCTTTTTTATTGCTTTTAATTTTTAGGTTTTCAGTTTATTTTCTTATCAGTTGACTATTTACTTCCTAAGGACATTTGACTTCATGTTGAAATAGCTATCTGGTGATTTTTCCAACATGTGTTCTCTGTCTTTCTTGATGTCTTTCTCTCATATTAAGTAAATTTAGTTGAAAATATTTTGCTTTGAGGTTGACTGGATATATTGAATTTCATTTAGCTGTGCATTAGTAATGACAATATAGGCCATCTGCCTAGGAATGTAAAAAATTATGTTAGCATATATCAGATGTGTGTTTTTATGTTTGAGTTTTTTTTTTATCCAGTTAGTTTTGAAATTTAGATTGAGCAAGAAAGTGCTATCATGTGTCTTGTTTTTGATGTATGTTGGTATGAGGGAAAGCATACCCTGTGAACTTGCCATTTATTAGCTGTGTGACCTTGGGCAAATCACTTAAACTCTCGGAGTCTTCACATTCTTACTTGTGTGAAAATCACTGAGGAGTTTTAGTAAATGATCTTTTTCAGTGATATTTATGTCTATAATTCTGTGAATCGGGTAATAATACATTTTGTATTTTCATGGTCATAGTAAATATTTAAATAATTTCTTGTGTGGGTTTGTTTTTTTAAAAATGCCATCATTTTGGGGGACTTTGAGCAATTAGTCTAGGAGAAATTTTTATGAGTAAACATTGGTTGAAAAAGAGCTTCTGGTCTTTTGTAAAGAGAAAAATGAGATTACTTTGGAAAGTTGTGATTATCATTGATGTTAGATCTGAGCTGTCAATGGACACATCATCATGATTTCTCTTTGTTTTCTTAATAATAAATAATTAAATTCTAAATAATAAATAATTACTCTTGGGAGTAGTGGGGAAGGTGAATTTTACACATGGCACTTAACATGGTATGATTCTTCTTTGTGGCAGAGCAAGTTTGATCTTTAAGGAATAGAGTATTTTGGAAGACTCAAGTAAATTGGGAATTGGGAATGATTTTTTACTTCATCCAATTCTGTTAGGATCTGATTTGTTGGATTCTAGTGAATCAGAGTTTTAGTGAAGAAGGTTTCATTATAATATCCCTGACCAAATCACTCTGAATGAATCTTTTACTCCATAGCATTTTTCTGAGATGACTGCTAGGTTCTAGGATTTTTTTCTTCGTTTTTTTTTTTTTTTTTAAATAAGAAGACTAAGTTTCTTGAGTGTTGAGTGACTTATGGAAGGTCACCAAGAAGGTCAATGGCAAAGCTAGAAATAGAATCTGGGTCTTGTGACTTCCAATGTGTTTCTCTTAGATACATGTTACCTCCTGAAATTAATATGTTAATGAAATTGCCTTATGGTGTGTATAATTATCAACTTCAAGTCTGGAATTAGCTTGGGCAAATCCTTTCATCTTCCTCTGCACCTCCCATATGTTCCAGAAAACATTTTATGTAGAAAGCTATTGTGTGCAAGTGTGTGTGTGTGTGTGTGTGTGTGTGTGTGTGTGTTTGAGAGAAAAGAGGGGTAGAGGAGCAAAACAGATCAGGAAAGACAATTTGTACCTGTAACTCCAGATTGGCATATACCATCAAGAAAACATTTTAAGATCCCAGAGTTAACTCCAGCACTGTAAAGCTTAACTTAAACACATTATTACATTTATATTCTTTTGTAGAACAAAGGCCAGATATCCATGTCTTGATTCCATGGGTAGACATGTTCCATGCCTCTATTAGATTAGCATTATTTTGAAAATTATTTGCAAGCATATTTACATTCTTTATCCAAATTACATTTACACAAGATTGTCATAAGCACACAGAAATCTTCAGAAATCTAAGAGAAAAAAGCCAAATCTTTTATAATATATATTTTCTTAATATTTAAGTCGTTTTGAAAATCATATAGTATAATGCAGTGCCATTTATAAGATATAATTCCCCATTCATACAAGGATAATAGTTTAGAACTATCTTATTCAAATGATCAGAGTCAATGCTATAATTTTCCAAAAATCATTTTGAAGAGGAAAGAATACAGATCATAGTGTCACTCTTTATCCCAGAAACTTTTAAGTAGGTACAAAATCTGTGCAAACCCGCTTAGTGCATACTCTGGGGGCCTGGATGCCCCTCACCCTGCTCAGCTTTATGGGTTGCTTCCACTTCACCCTGTTTTCCAACTTGCACTTCAAGACACTTAGCATTTCTGTCTCTACTTCTACTCCCACGGCTGTGCTCTGTGACTTACAACTACTCCAGGCTCCTGTTTGCTTTTCCTAATGCTGCTATTGAACTGCAATTATCTATGTCCCATCTCAGGCTCTGATCTCATCCTAAAGCCTTCTGAGACTCTTTTCATATTTGTCTTCCCAGTGTTTTAATTCAGAGTCAATGGACATGTCATTTGTCAATTTAGCAACTACCTCCCTCGGACACCAATTGTTAATATTACCTTTTATAATATTTGAATCGTATTTGCTGTCTCTGATGTGTATTTTATGTTTCTTGTCTTTTCACATTTGGCTTTCAGTCTTCCTGTATCTTTTTAATTTGTATTCCTTGCAATATTTGTTTTTCAAAACTTTTTAACAATTAGATTTTGCTATTTTTAAGGGAGCAGAATTCTAAATAAAGTACTCTGTCAGTTATAGGCAGAATTTAATTTCATTTAACCAGAAGAGTGAAAGGACAGTAGATTAAACAAGGAAGATATTTATTTTTCTTTCACTTTATAAGAAGGATCAGGCCAAAGCTGATGTGTACTTTTACAGTGTCCTTAGGCAACCAGGTTCCTTTTTGCTTTTATTGTTTCTTTCCTAGTCTAGGTCCTTTTACCTTTTATATATAGAGAGATGCATATCTCCAGCCACCCTGTGCACAGTCTTTGCACAGACAGTGGGAAGGAACAAGGGTAGGCTGGCTAATTTTATTCCATGTAAGTGATTCTCTGGAATAACCAGGAGCTTCTACTTACAGGTGGGATTGTTTCATCCAGGGAACTCTGGTATGAAGGGAAGTTAGGAAATGCAGGTTCTGAGTCTAGGAGATAGCTCTCTTCAGCAGAATCAAGATTTAATAGGATGGAAAAAGAAAGGGAGGCTGTTGTGGGCAACTAGCAATCTCTACTACAAGTGCCTTAGAAATCTTGTTTCTTTGATTTTAACATTATGATGCCCAATATAGGATATGATTATGCTTTTGAAAAAACGCACTCCATGACTTGTAGGGGAACACTGGTGTGGTCAGGGGGAAAAGCAGATTTCCTGGGAGGAGGAGGTAATGGAAGTTCACTGGTTGAATTTAGATGGTGTGCTTGCCTGGTAGATGGTGAAAGGTAGTGAGTATCATTACTGCTCTTCCTACAGAGTTCACATTCTTTTCATACCTTGATTTCTTTCCTTTCCTGGGGTTACTTAATTGAGAATTTACCAGGAAGACTGCCACTCAGTAAGTACTGTTTTTGTTCTTCACAAAATGTTTTCTTTGCTGAGAAGTGAGTTTAAGGAAGAAGGACTTAGTGGAGATTGTGTGGTTGTGAGTTAGAAACCCTCAGTTTGAGCTCAGCTCCATCACTAATCTGCAGTGTGACTTTGAGTGCACTCTTTAAATCTTCCTGAGAATCAGTTTCTCTATCTTCAGAATATTGATGCATCCTCAAAGAATCCTTGAGGGGATGAAACATAAATATGCAACTGTACTTGAGCAAAAAATGTGAATTCCTCTTTTCCTTCCACCTATGCAATGTCATGGTTTTTTTTTTAATTTCAGATATTATAGATCTCCCTATTACTAGAATTTAAATTCTCTGTACTTCATACTTCAAAAGTAGATATCCAGAAGTTTTCTTGTAGCAAATGAATATAACAAAAAAGTGGTTGTTTTTCATTTGATGCCACCAGAGAGAAAGAAAGTATAGTTTTCAAATGCTCATCCCCACTGCTCCCTTTCTTTAACTTGAGAAGGACTCTAATTTGAATTTTTGAAATTCAATCCAATTAATATGTGCGGAGGGAGGACTTTTTGTTTTTTTAAATCAACATGTTTTGTT